ATTATTAATTGGCTAATAAATTTTTATAGGATGTTTTCCAAAATGTAAGGATTAAAATGAATCAAAAATTATGTTTCCAGCATTTGTAGTTAATAAGTTATAAGCATTTAAAGCTAAAAATAAGTTGTTGTATTTCTTTTATCAGCCACTGTATATATTTAGATCAATATTTTGCTTGATTATTGTTATCATTAATATTTTCTGATTTCATCTTCTGTTTAAATATAGGGCAAACCTTAAGTCTGATATAAGGAATTTGCACATATTTTTCAAAAACATGTCTCAAATGCTGTATACAAGTCCTATTCTGACTAAAAAAATATTTGTATTTATTACAAAATAAGCAATGCTGGCAAAAAATCCAACTTTTTTCAATTGAATATATCTTTTTGGTATTTGGAAGATGAAGCTGATTTTGATCATAAAGGAAGTGGGAATGACATATACCTATTGTTAACAAATTATTTTTTGTTTGAGCTTTTTGAAAAATCTCTGGATTGATCTTCTAAGCTCCAATTAGTTAGAAAAGTGGCTTCTGTCTTTCTGAATGGCTTGAGCAGCATTGAATGAAACTATTATTAATATCTAAAATTAGACATTCTGATAAAGATTCGCTAGCATTTATTATGTCTATAACAAAATATTCATTTCTATTAGTTGATCCTGATGTAGTCAACTCTGAATCAAATATTGAAATTGTTGATATATTAACATCTACTTCAGTATCGGTATTAATATCATTTAATAAAAATATATTATTATTTTTGTTCTCTTCTATAAGTGTTCTTGCTCTTTCATAATTGACATTATTAAAAAGAGAGGGCATTTCTATATCATAATTTAATGTATTATTATCGCTTTCAATGCTTCCTACAACACTCTCTGACTCAAGTCTTTTAGCAAAAGCTATACTCTTCAAATCATCATAATCATTAGGAACATAATCGAAATTATCAAAAATGTCCTGCAAGTTTGTATCAGACATAGCAAAAGGATGAATTTTGTACGATAAGATGACTAACGCTAAGTAAATATCATTAATTAAAAAAAAAGAATTTTATAAAAAAAATATCAATGTTATAAAACTAAAAAATTTACTATTTCAAAGAATAAAATACTAATACTAATGCTAAAAGTAAATTTTTAACTAACAAGTTATCATTATTGAAAAAAAAAATTCAAGAAAAAAAATGAAAGTGACTTTAATTTAACATTAAGGTTCTTTAACATTAAAAATTATAAGGCCTTTATATAATAATAAGATTGTTTAATATTTTTTTTTTTATAGATGATATCTTATTAAGATATAAAATAGAGTATAAATATAGGTATATAAAATAAAAATACATATAAAGAAACCATTTATCTTAAATTAGTAATTATATGATCACATTCTATCCGATTACCTTTCAATAAAAGAAGTAGTTATTATTTTGAGTGACAATTTTGTCGATCTTTAATTAATGCATTCTGTCATACTTTTTGATAAATTTTTAAATATTATATTATATGCGAAAATATTATAAGGCATAAAATTAATATTTCTTTAATATGTAAGTAGATTAAAAAAATGCATATCATAATGACAATAATAAGTTTAACATTTTAAAGTTAGTTAAAGTTAATTAGTTCGAAGTATAATGAGGACTTATGCACAGTGACATAGAAATGTTTTATTATCTGTCTGACATATGACAATATTTCGCATTTCAGACTTTGTAACGTTTTCATTTCCTAGTTTATGTAACTTAATGTTAATAATAATATTAATATCGATAACATTTTTAGCAATTCCTTTAAATTAAACTAAGAAGTTTTTGAAATTAGATTTATATATAAATTTATTGGCACTACAACTTTACTTATAAATAAAAGGTAGATTAGAAATGCTGATTTTGAGTTTTATATGAAGAAACTGCTAAAAATCTTAAAATTGAACACAAAAGTTAATCATAAACTTTATTCGTTAAGTGTATAATTCTGAAATTCGATAATTATATGTAAATTTATTGGCGCTACAACTTTACTTAGAGATAAAATATAGATTAAAAAATCTGATTTTGAGTTTTATATGAAGAAACTGTTAAAAATTACTGTATCACATAATTTTATTTTAAAATTTTTGATGGAAGATTCTTTAAAACTATCATTATTATATAATATTAATAAATAGACTTTTAAAAAGAAGAGGTCCTGGTTATACTTATATTAAAATAACAAAAAGTTACAACTATTAAATTTTGGTATTAGCATATAAGTAAAAGTTGTGAACTAGTTTTTTTATATATAAAAATTGTAGAAAATTCGATCTCTTAATTAAAGTAATTCCCACAAATTAAGTGACAAAATCTTGTATAACTTTGAATTAAGAAATCTTATGCATCATGTTTTTTGAGCTTTTACAATTGGTATAAAATTTTAGTGATATATCCTGTAATTGTTAAATCTAATTATAATCTTAAAGTTCTAAAATTATGCGTAAAGACTTATTTGTAACCTTGGATACAAATAATTGTTATATAAATATCTAGTATTCAGGTATTAAAACTTAAAAAAATCTTAGAAAAATTAAACAGATAAAAAAAGATAAACAGAAAAAAGCTTTTTTGATTTTTATCATATATAAAAAAATTAAAATAAATTTATCAATCACATCACCTTCTTCAACTAAACATTCAAATAAAAAATAAAATATTACTTAAACAAAAGAATTTAAAGTTATTTCAAACTACTATAACAACTATTATGCTACTAAAATTACTATTAAAATTGATATACCTTTAGAAAATATTCCTATAAACAATAATTAAGAGAAAAATAAAGAAGTTGAAACTACTATATTACTTCTCAAAAATAATAATATTATAAATATTTAGATATGTCAGAAAATATTATTGATAATATCTCTGTTGCTTTTGGCATACTAATCTTTAACGTTAAAAAATTTTTTGCTTATTTTTTGCTTAAAAAATATCCTATAGCAAATGTTTAACAAAAGATTGTTAAAATTACAAATGAATATTATTTTAATTATATATTATTTATATGTGTAATACATGAAAAACTTCCTGCTAATCTATTTATCAATATTCTCAAGGTTACTTTTCTTGACTTCAAAGAACAAGATGATCTTTATAAGATACAGATTTCTAATACAAATAAGCTCACGTTTTTACCTTTTATTATACAAAAAATGTATTACTTTATTCCTGCACAGTTGATTATAGTAGATCTATAATTACAAATATTAAAATTATTTTAATATAGAATCATCATTAAAGATATCAGAAAACTTACAATTTATAATAGTGTATCATTATTACCTTTGATGAGAAAACTAAATTTGAAATTCTCAAAGAAACAGATAGTCCATTATTAATAAATGATTAAATCTGTAAAAGAAAATTCAAAATCACTTTAAATTCTCAGTTAAAAACTATTGCATGTAACTTTCTTGATATTAGTCAAATGGTTAACGTTACTATTTAGATTATTTTACTTATAAGATGCTAATAAAGCAGAAATAGCTCTCACTAGAAATAACCTCATACTCAATAACAAAGCTTGAATAAATTGACATAAAAATTAAGCTTTATGCTATCTGTTCTTTATCGTATTACAACATGTTTTTCTACCTTAGAAAGAAAAATACATCTAAGGATAAAAACACCTAATTTTTATACTAATATTTTCAGCTAACTCAATTTAATAATTATATTACACCTAAGAAATCACATGATGCAGTTAGAGATAACATTACCTTTACCAATATAGTTAACCTTTCTTAACTTAATGTTAGTTATCTTAATACTTTTTTTTACTGCCTTCTTTAAAGAAAAAACTTAATGCTATTTTGACTAAGAATAACACTAAATCTCTTATTATAAGTTAAGCTAATGAGCCTGTATATGAAAGTGAAATCCTATTTGATAATACATATATTCCACTTCTAATATAAAAATAATACTATTAAAGATAGCTTTATACATAACCCAGATTTCAAAAAATTTATTATTTCCAATTTGAATCCATTATTAATACTCTTTTAGATCTTTAAAATTCTTACAAAACCATTTAGCTATTATAAAAAAAGCTTTAAATATCAATATTATAATCCTATAAGAAGTAGAGAATTATAATAATACCCTTTCTAATACTGCTACTGAAGCTGATCTTAAAACTTCTTACATTGATTTTTTTATATTGCTTATTTATAACAAAGAATTTCAGAATTCATCCCACTTATTAATAAATTTCTTAAAGTTCATCAATAAAAATCTTCTTAGTCAATATGATATTTATACTTTTATCCTATTAAATAAAGATTTAGATAAAATAATGGAGTTTTATATTAACATCTTCTCATAATAAATTAATTTTATATATAAATATTATTCTTACAAATAATTTCAATAACTCTGATAATTCTTCCACTTTATTTAATACTCCTAAATTTTTCATTTCATTATATAATGTCTGCAAACTTAATAATTCTACTAAACAAATGTTCTTTATTCACTTTATTCTACTTACTATTATATTATAATAAGCCTATAGAAAACTAATTTCAAATACAATGGTACTTCATATTTCAATCATTCTTTTTTAAATTATTAAACATTTTTCAGCAAGAATATTGATAGCTAATCTATCAATTTAATGTTAGTCTATTCTTTAACTTTTAATTTTTTAATATAATTTCTAATACAATTTCAAATTTGATTAAGTTATTTACACAAACTACAATTTGCTGACAAATAAAAGCTTTTTGTTATTAATGTATATATTTTACTAGGCAAAGATAAGAATAATATTTCTAATCAAGTATTTAGTTACATATCTTAATTTCTCAATTAAGCAATTAAGTTTGATTATCATATCATTCTCCTTGAAGATTTTAATGTTAACATTAACTAAACTAATAATAATTTACTATAAACTATAAATTCACTTAAACATTATAACCTATTTGATAATTTTACTATTTTATATGATAATAACCATTTAAAATATCTGATTTTTCATAGGAATAATTCTTCCTTTTAAATAACTTTTGAGCTCATTTTAAACTTATTTAACGCAAACATATTACTCATAAATATATATATTTTAGATCATCATATTGTTTTATCTAAATGTTCAAATTTTTTGAAAGTCTCTAATAATAATTGTTAATGCTTTATTAAAATCTTATTCAATTTTAGTAAAATAAATCAAAATTAATAAATCCAATTTAATGATAAATTAAACCATTCAATCAATAAATGTGCTCTAAAACATATATTTGTATTTGCAATGTAATCTTAAAATACCTTTAACAGAGTCTAAAACTTATTTTAAAATATGCTAATAATAGTAGCAAATAAGTATATTTTCATTAGCAAATCTAAAATCTGATATCTTTCTAAATAGCCTATTAATATAACTGCTTTGTATATCAATATTAAGACCTTAAAAAATTCTCTAAATTATCAAAAAATGCCTTAATGACAATTTGATCTCCATCAAATAGTTCAATCTATATAATTAATTCTTAAATATTATATTTGAAAATTTCTTACACATTATATTAATAGAATTTTTTTCTTAATAATATATATATTAAAGCTATTTTACTTGATATTTGTTTGTTTTTTGTTAGACTACAAGTAAAAACTAAAATCAAAGAACATGAATTTAAACTTTTAAATATTCAATAAACCTTATAAGATAGAATTAATAATTATAAGACTAACCCTTTTAAAATGATTGATTCTGTTTTAAACAAAAGAAGAAAACTAATTATTCTCAATAGATGTCTTAGCAATTCTAGTACTTCTCTGACTCTATTCACTAATGAATCAGATATTTAGAAAGAAGTGACTAAATACTTTTAACATGTGGTAGATATAATACATACAGATAAACCTATCTCAGAGAAATAGTAACAAACTTATCAGCTTATTTTTAATATTAATTTAAATATTTTTAATCAACTAATCTTAG